AGCATAAAAGATAAAACAAGCAGTATATAAAATACATTGATACGGAAAAAATAAATACACAAGAAAATTGCAACTAAATATATTAGGATATTTGTAAAAATAATTTAAATCAATTAAGTAAATTATACTATTATAGAATGTGAAGAAGTGTGACAATTTTCAGTGGTTTTAATTAAACATACAGAACACTTGTCGAAATGTACGAAATTTGAGGTTCCCACGGCAGTGAAGATCTCCATGGTGAACTTGTAAGTAGGAACCGACGTTTCGGAGAAACGTATTGCCTTTTTCAACCCTAGGGTAAAGCGGTCGGAGTTATTTAGGACTGAGGCTTAGAACGGATGGCACTCTTTCTCCACTCCACCATACGCCTTCATGGTGAATAGGTACAGGAACACGTTTCCGCGTTTTCATACGCGATGCACACCCCTGCTTGTTACGGAACTGCTTTTCTACTATTTGTGAATGGAACCAATAATGGGCCGGGTGGTTATGCAAGGGGGAGGAAGTTAAGGGTGTGAAAAGGGGTTTGAGTTTAGGGGTGATATTGAGATGGGGTGAGTTGACGGTTTGAGCCCCAGACGGTCGGGGACGGAACCCCCGGGGAAGGCGATGTATGATGGGTGGTGTGGGGTGGAAGTTGCAGGAGATGGGACGGGGAGGATTTAGCCCCCTCACTCTCTCTGCCCTCTCGGCCCAAGCGCGCTCTTTCTCTCTCGCTCTCTGCCTAGCTGGTTGCTGCCTGCCTGGCTGGCTGCATCGATTTGGATGTGGATGCAGAGTATTGGAATGGGTACAAATACTATGCCGTACTGGGGGCACCAGTTGCATAAAACATTGATCCCACTTGGAGTATTGTTCCGGTACACAAGTATATTATCAACCACAATTCCTTTGTCTTAATCGTCATCACGAGGGGCCTGACTGATCGAATGACATGTTTTTGTTTCTGTCGGCTTCACGTCTACCGATTAGCTGATTTCATGGTAACCACAGCAGTTATGACTAATCGATATATATATGTCCGATTAATTGTTTAATTATTGGTGTTATTCAGTCGAGGGATTGCTATTCAGTTTTAAGAGTTCTTTGCTGAAGTGCGTGTTGGATGTGATTTTATCCGTCTGCATGTTCCATCTCCAATGCTTTTAAATGTATTACGTCGAAGTTTGGTACTGGGGGCTTTACGCTAATATTTTTCTTGTTGATATAGGTTCGAATAGTTTCTGTTTAATGAATGGCCAGGGAATGGTATGGACTATATGTCTGTACAAAAGTTTGTTTTGAAAACCGGGATCTCTAGGCATAGTTGGAAGGTTTAATAATATTTTAAAAATGGATCTAAAATAAATAGGAGAAACGGATGTGGACAGGATTAATGTAATTCGGGACAAAGCCCAGTTGGGGAGATATTGTAAACGTAATGACATTTCTCACCACTGGGGAGACCTAGACGTAGATGGGAAGATAATTCAGGCGGGATCTATGGGGATAGGAGTTGAAGGAGGCTGGATTTTGTTGGCCCA